TGATGGGGAAAGAGATGAGTGAGTAGACCGCAGTCCAATTTGAAACACACACAAAAAAAGCAGAATCAGGTGTGGTGATACTTGCTGGTAATTCCAGTATTTTGGGAGTGAAAGTGGGTAAATCACTTGAGCCCAGAAGTTTGAGAAAAGCCTGGGATTTCTCCAGCCTGGGTGAAACCCCATCTCTCCAGAAACAAACACAAAAAATTAGCTGGGCATGGGGGCACGTGCCTGTGATTCCAGCTACTCAGGAGGCTGAGACAGGAGTATCGCTTGAGCTCATAAGGTTGAGGCTGCAGTCAATTATAAACTCGCCACTGCACTTTAGCCTGGGTATGAGAGTGAGACACTGTCTCTTTAATTTTTTTTTTTTTAAAAAGAGGTAAAAATAATGTTCTAAGGTCACATCTAGTACAAAAACTGTATCTTATTCTGTGATGTTTAGATGCCACAATTAAAATAGAACATGGAGAAACTGGGAGCAAGATGGCCAAAAGGAACAGCTCCAGTCTCCAATTCCCAGCGCGAGCGACAGAAGACAGGTGATTTCTGCATTTTCAACTGAGGTACAGGGTTCATCTCACTAGGGAGTGAGGGACAGTCGGTGCTGGTCAGCTGCTGCAGCCCGACCAGCAAGAGCTGAAGCAGGGCGAGGCATTGCCTCACCTGGGAAGCGCAAGGGGGAAGGGAATCCCTTATCCTACCCAGAGGAACTGAGACACAAAACACCTGGAAAATCGGGTAACTCCCACCCCAATACTGCGCTTTACCAAGGATCTTAGAAAACGGGCACACCAGGAGATTATATCCTACACCTGGCCGGGAGGGTCCCACGCCCACGGAGCCTCCCTCATTGCTAGCACAGCAGTCTGCGATCTCGCCACAAGGCAGCAGTGAGGCTGGGGGAGGGGCGCCTGCCATTGCTGAAGCTTAAGTAGATAAACAAAGTGGCTGGGAAGCTTGAACTGGGTGGAGCTCACAGCAGCTCAAGGAGTCCTGCCTGTCTCTGTAGACTCCACCTCTGGGAACAGGGCACAGCTAAACAATAACAACAACAAAAAAAAGCAGCTGAAACCTCTGCAGACGCAAACGACTCTGTCTTACAGCTTTGAAGAGAGCAGTGGATCTCCCAACACGGAGGTTGAGATCTGAGAATGGACAGACTGCCTGCTCAAGTGGGTCCCTGACCCCTGAGTAGCCTAACAGGAAGACATCCCCCACTAGGAGCAAAGCAACACCCCACACCTCACACGGTGGAGTACATCCCTGAGAGGAGGCTTCCAAAGTAAGAATCAGACAGGTACACTTGCAGTTCAGCAATATTCTATCTTCTGCAGCCTCTGCTACTGATACCCAGGCAAACAGGGTCTGGAGTGGAACTCAAGCAATCTCCAACAGACCTACAGCTGAGGGTCCTGACTGTTAGAAGGAAAACTAACAAACAGGAAGGACACCCACCCCAAAACCCCATCAGTACGTCACCATCATCAAAGACCAGAGGCAGATAAAACCACAAAGATGGGGGAAAAGCATTGCTGGTGAGATTATAAAAAGGTACAGCCACTAGCAGAAACAGTTCTGGTGTTCCTCAAGAAGATAATCATAGAATTCTCACATGAAACAGCATCCATTCCTAGGTATGTACCCAAAGAATTGAATCCAGGGACTCAAATAGGTACTGGCATGGGAATGTTGATTGCAGCATTACTCACAAAAGATAAAATATGAAAACAATCCAAGTGTTCATCAACTCATGAAAAAACAAATGTGGTGACACATGCAACAGAATGTTAATCTGCCATAAAAAGGAAGGAAGCTCTGACATCCACTGCAACATGCATGGACTTTGGAAACATTATGCTAAGTGAAATATGTCAGAAATTAATAACATATACATATATAATTCCATTTATATGAAACATCAAGAATAGGCAAATTCATAGAGATAGAGATGATCAAGGTCTAGGGTGGAAAATAACAGGGAGTTATTATTGTTTCAAAGATATAAAGTTTCAGTTTAAAATGACTAAAGTTTTCCAGGAAAAATAGTGGTGATGGGAACTTAACACTGTGTATGTGGTTAATTCCACCTGATTGTACATTTTAAAGTGATTAAAATAGCACATTATTCACAGAACTGTGCAAAATCGATTTCTATTATTTAATTCACCCAGGTTAAGGTGTTTGTTATGGCAGCTGAAGCACATGAATACATCATCTGACCCAGTGTTTTCCATGAAACATATCACTTTTTCAATCAAGTTAGCTGCAGACTCCTGTCCCCAGAAAAACCAGAGGTCCCAAAACAAGAGCTCCAGCAGGGGTTCAACCAGCACAGGTCTCATAGGGCAGCCTCGATGTCAGGCCCTGGATGGCATGTGAGGCTATAATGATAAAACCACGACGTGAAAGTGTAAGTGTTTTTACTACTTACAGACACTGGGGAGCACTTGGCACACCTGGAGACCACAGATACAGAGGTCAGCGAGGCCAGGCAGGGAGGAGAGAAGAGACCGGTAAGCCGATGGCTTTATTAAGTACACGTGTTACCTGACAGGTTTCCAGCAGGGAGCTTTGATGGATGTGTTTCAAGCAAGCAGCAAACACTGGGACCAGGAGATCATGCTGTGACTGAGAAGTGGTCACTTTAAATGTAAGGGCAAATGTCAGAATTACCAGTTTAAAGATAGTAGATGGAGAGAAGGGAGCCCAGCACACCAAGCGGGAGAGATGCCTCTAAGATTTCACCGCTGGCCACCAACTGGAGAAACTTGAACCAGATACAGTATTGAAAACTGCCATGGTGAGCAAGGCCTGCCTCTGATGTGAGGCAAATAAATTTACACCTTAAAAAATGAATGCCAAGGCAGCATGACACTGTGAACACTCCTGACATCCAGGGACACCAGCAGGGTGTGGTACTGTGCCCTGGAGTCAGAATCCTGGGTTCTGGTCTCTGGGACTGAGGAAATGAAAATGACTTGTCCCTGCCTCCCTGGCATTGATCCTCCCACCCTGCTGCTCCCTCTTCTGTTCCCAAGCCCATGTGCAGTGCTCAGCCCCAGACATCACTGCCCCCAGGGTATACACAGTGCCGCCTACTGCACACAAACACAAACTCACAGAAGGTGACGAAAATCTGCGTTCGGGACATCCGCTCGTGAAAGAGGGAGAACAGAGAACGTAGAGCCACAGAGAGTGGGACTCACGGGGCTGGAAGGTGATGGAGCTGTAATATAACATGTGTTACCTCCCGTGAAATGTGCAGATCCTTTTGGAATAAAACACGCAACTTGGCCTGGGACTGTGGCCACCCACACTTCCCTTCCAGTCCACCAGAGGGCGGCAGAGTCCTTCCAGCCGGGAGCCTTCCCAGGGGATGTCGACCTCCCTCAGCAGAACCTGTAGCCAAGCAGGGTCCACTCTCACCAGGGTCACCTCGGCCCAAGTCCTCAGCACCCTCCATGCTCCCACACGGACTGTGTCAGCTCCTCCCTGACCTGGCGGCCGCCAACCTAACACCACTCCCTCTGCAGGCAGCTTCTGCCCCACACACCTGCTCCTTCCCCGGGTTCAGCTAAAAATACATCTCCCAGGGCAGCGAGGGTGCACAAGAAGCCACACTGCGCACTTTCCCCTGGTGACCTCCCTCCATCCTCATCAACTCTTTCTGTCACTGCTCCCTAAATGTCCGCCTCTGCTCCATCTGTCCTGTTCTCTGGGGCAACCCAGGGCAAGCCTAGTGCTGACACAGAACAGTGGTTGCCTGAGGGCCCACAGACTCCCCGGGAATCAGTCAGGCACCCTGTGGCCTGCCTGCCCGCAGCACCTCGGGGGGCTCAGAGCGAGTGGGATTGTCACACACAGGCACCATCCAGGATGTGGTCAGCTACCCCCGGCTGTCCCTTGGGAAGACAGACCTCTCCTGTGTCCCTGCTGGGAGAAGGGGGTATTGTTGCTCTTTGATCCAAGAACGCAACTCACCCCCACCCGCCTTCTCAGGTGTGAGCAACGTCCCTCCACACAGGCTCTCTGGTGACCGCCTGTTCCTCCTCTACAGAAAGCAGCTCGGCCAGGTCAAAACCCTCAGGACAGACTCCTGGGTATGTCAGCACATGGAGGGCTGAGCCCATCACGACCACGGAGTAAGTCGGGATTAATCTCTCCAGCTCTGAACCCCTGCTCTGTCCCAGGCTCCCCTTCCTGCATCTCAACGAGCCATGTTCCATGGGGTTCCTGCGTAACTCCCCACTTCCTCCTGTGCCACCACGGTGGTAGTGTGGTGACCACAGGACAATCAGATGGGCAGAGAAGAGAGGACACCAAAGATGGTCAGGAAGAAAGGAGAAACCCTGAGCCCCAGCTCAGCCACCAGTCCCCAGGGAGCAATAGAGTGACTGAGAACTGTCCCTTTGACTATGGGACTCACAGCCCCCACTGAGCAACCAGCACAGGCCTCTCCTCACAAGAGGCATGAGAGATTCACCCTGCACACCTCCAGGAAGGACACTTTCCTCTGAGACACCCAGGTTCTGAATGTCCATCTTTGGAAGCTGCGGCCAAGCTAGAAACAATTAGAGAAAGGAAGGATCCCTGTCACCAGGCAACACACAGCTCACCCACAGTACAATGGGGTGTCCCTGTGACAGGGATCTGGTGCAGCTCCAGCCTCCTGCACTGAAGGGAAGAGCCAGATGGGGATGAAAGAGGACAAAGGTCGAGAAAGTGCACCCTGACCCAGAGCCATGGGGACAGCAAGAGGCTGAGGCCCAGAACTGTGCTTGCCCAACCTACAGGGTATGTGTGTGACTGTGTGTGTCTATGTGCGTCTCTTTTGTGTGTGTGTTTGTGTTTCTGCACATAGTGTCTGCCGAGGTTTGGTGATGGAATCACTGCTGAAAAAGGCAGAGGCCTCCACAATTCCCAGGGACCTGACACACAGACAAAAGGTAAAAGAGAAGGAGGGACAAGGAGGCAAGACTGAGAGGGGCGGGGACAGAGAGGTGTCCTGGGCACAGACCCCGCCCATGAGCCTGAGAAGTGCTCCTGCCGCGGGAAGAGGCTCAGCACAGAAGGAGGAAGGACAGCACAGCTGACAGCCGTGCCCAGAAAGTTTCTGGATCCCAGGCTCATCTCCACACAGGAGAACACGCAGGCAGCACAGGCCATGGGGCCCCTCTCATCCCCTCCCTACACACTGCACATCACTTGGAAGGAGCTTCTACTCACAGGTGAGGAGAGGACTTCCTGGGAGAGGACAGGAGGAGGAAGCAGAATTATTGGATGAGGTCTCCTGGAGAGGGTGGGGTTCTAAAAAGTAAAAGGAGTCAGCACTTTGGGAGGCTGAGGTGGGTGGATCATGAGGTCAGGAGTTCAAGACTAGTCTGCTCAACACAGGGAAGCCCCGTCTCTACTAAAAATACAAAAAATTAACCAGGTGTGGTGGTGTGCTCCTGTAATCCTAGCTACTTGGGAGGCTGAGGCAGGAGATTTGCATGAACCCGGGAGACAGAGGTTGCAGTGAGCAGAGATTGCACCACTGCGTGCCAGCCTGGGTGATCATATGAGACTCCATCTCACAAAAAAAAAAAGAAAAAAAAATACAGGAAAGCAGGTTCTCTTGGAACCTGCATAGGGGAACATATACCCGAGAGGGACAGGGGTCAAAACAGGAAAATCACATTGAACTGGAATTGGTAAGAGGTAGGAAAATCTCAAGTGTTCTGTTTTCCTGGTTAATTATCACTGGCCACCACTTTTTGAAAAATGATAATAATAACTATTATCAGATGGCACTTCAAATGAAAATATAAGCAGGGCATGAAACACTGTCCTCAGCCAAAAACCTCAACAATTGGGGAAAGAGAAGAAAGACACACTGGGGATGGAGGGCCCTGGGAACTCTCACATGTACAGGAGTCTGCCACCTGTCCGAGGCTCTGGGGTGCAACCAAGATCAAAAGTCCCAGTCCTCGGGGAACACATGCTCTCATGGGAAGCAAGATAGACAGACATGCAAAGAGATCTAGAATGTGAGGTCAGATGTTGACCAGAGCTCCGGGGGGAGCAGAGCAGGAAAAGGTCAGAAAGGGAAGACCCAGTGTCTCTGAAGGAGGTGTTAGGAAAGAAGTCTAAGGATGCCCTGATGTGAGCAGGACCTGAGGGCAGTGTGGAGGGAGCCGTGCAGACCCCTGGGGAAGAGGATTCCAAACAGAAAAGTGCCAAGGTTGGAAGTGTTGAAGGAATGAGGGTCATACTGCTGACCTTGACACAATAAGACAGTTTGAGACACACACACAAACACACACACACAGAAAAAGGGTGTGTGTGGGTGTGTGGGTGTGTTTTCAAGGCTGATGATTGAAGAGATCTTCTCAGGTCCCAGGGCCCCATTTTTCACCCCAATACATAGGTCTCAATATTGACTGATACTCTCTCCACCTCCTAGTATCACTTTTAATCATCTGGAACCCACCCACCACTGCTCAAGTCACAATTGAAGCCCAGCCAACCAAAGTTTCCGAGGGGAAGGATGTTCTTCTACTTGTCCACAATTTGCCCCAGAATCCTACTGGCTACAGCTGGTACAAAGGGCAAATAACAGACATCCACCATTACATTACATCATATGTAATAGACACTGAAATGATTGTATTTGGGCCTGCATACAGTGGACGAGAAACAGTATATTCCAATGCATCCCTGCTGATCCAGAATGTCACCCAGAATGACACAGGATCCTACACCATAGAAATCATACAGCGAGGTGATACCACTAAAGGAGTAACTGGACATTTCACCTTATACCGTGAGTGATTCCACATGATCCCTGGGTGTTGGGGGGCGGGGGTCACTTCTACTTTGCACACACAGGATTGTCAGGCCTAGACTGTGCCTGTGTCCCTCTCTGCATTATGTCCCATGTTGGGGTTTCGGCATTTAGTGCAGGACACACACAGAGGAGACAAACTTCAACAGATCAGAATTCCTTTCCTGCCTCCAGACCCTGCAGACACTTGCTGCACAGGAAGGACAGTCTGATGGGGTGGGGGGGGTGCTCAGCACGAGGAGATCAGCCTCAGCCAAGCACCTCATGCCCTCTTCATGAACTTGACCCTGAGAAAGACCCTGGAGAAGTGAGTAGGGCTTTGCCTAAGAGGTCCCCTGAGAAACTCTCAGAGAAGCTCAGTCCTAGAGGCCTCAACCCCAGACCCCTGTCCCTAAATCCTTACTCCAGATAAACCTGAGGAGCCTGCACCAGGGCTGGGTTGTGGCAGGGCTTACTGGGACCAAGGATTTACCAGCTATCTGAGGACTGTGTCTCCTGGAGCTGCTCACCAGCCAGGGCTCAGCCCTCAGAGCCTCATCTGGGCAAGGACAGAGCTTTCTTCACCTGAGACTCAGAGTGGAGAGGACAGAAAGACAAGCTTTGTAGGCCATCAGCCAACTGTCTTGTGAGGCTTAGGACACTCCATAGTAACTCTAATGTCCCCAGAAGTAGAAATAGAAGACAGAAAATGTACCTGGCAGCAGCTTGTCCACAGGGATCTGACCTAAAGGTGCTCTCTCATGGAAGTGAATCATAATAAATGCTGTTTGTGTGAACACCTCCACTGTGCCAAGCATTAGGTCAGGTGACTGTGAAGAATTTACAATGTATTCACAGGTAGCATGAAAAGCCACAGTCCATTTGCCATTTAGCTTTTTTGACTGAGAGAAAATTGAGGCACAAGAAGATACAGTCATTGAACCAGAGTCACACAAACACAAAAGGCAGATCAGGGTCACATGACGTCTGTCTGCAGCTACAGGCCCATCCTCTCCTCCACCAGAAGTGAGAAATTATTGGGTTTGAAGGACACATAGTCATTTATTGGCTCAAATCCTCTCTTCTTAGGCATCCAAACCTCAGAGGAGTGAGAGCAAATGGTCAGCTGATTAGTCTGTACTCCAGAATTAAATCATCTGCCTCAACTGTTAGAGTCAGTGCAAAAAATGTCCAGGCCTCCCCCTCAGATCTTCAGCCCTATCACTGAACCTGAAATCCTGTGTTTCCCAAAGTGTCCATGTCACTGGCATGACAGGATAAAAGAGAGGACCTTGTTTTCATTCCCCACTCACACCCCGCACCAGCACAGGCCCAGTGAGAGACACACCCTCAGGTGCTCTCACATAACAAATGAAGGAATTGAATGAAGAAACGAATGATCCATAACCTCTTTAGAGACTGGATCTTGGATGCAGAATTCTAGGAGGTTCTAGTCACACCTGTCCCTTGTCCTTCAGATGCTGACAAGCATGTTTCATCCCCCCACTACTTCTTGCCCCTAATGCCACCCCACCTCCTATAACTCTGAAGCTGTTTGGCCACTGGAGGGTTTTCAGGGCTCCCTCATCCTGGACTGTTGAACTGGGGCACCTGGTCCCTGGGGTCTCCGAAGTCACTGTAGGCCCCACTGTTCACTGCCATACTGTCTCTGCCTCTCTCTGCTTCTCTGTGTCCCTCATTTTCCTCCCACTTCATTCTAACTGGCAAGCCCTGTCCTGCACAGCTTCTTCCACCACTCCTTGGCTTTCCCCAGACACTCCTTCTAACTACGCTGACTGTTCTGTTCCCTTCTTGCTAACACGGTGGCGTTGCCCACCTCCCAGGAAATAGGAAAGGCAAGAAATCACCTGCAGTTTCCACTCCTGCCACGCTTCATCTCGAGCCAATGTCCCCAGGTCATTAAGAGAAAGAGCTTCCACTGTATCCCCGTCCAGGGCTCTGTCCCCTTGTGAGGCTGTTCTGTGGACAAGACCGTGGGACAGGGATAGACAACTCCTCCATCCATTCTTGTATTTCCCAGACAAGTTCTTCTGGCCTCCTGCACAAACAAAACCAATTTATCCAGATGGTGATTTGGAGTAAAGAAAGATTTTAATGACTCCAAGTCTGCCAAACAGGAGAACAGAGGTTTATTATTATTCAAATCAGCCTCCCTAGTGGATCAGGGGTTAGAGATTTTCAAGGATAGTTTGAGGGGCACAGGATTAAAAAATGGGTACTGCTGACTGTTTGGGGATGGAATCATGCGGGCTGAGGGAAATGATCTGTTTTTTTTTTTATTTGTTAAAAATTATTTAATGTCCAGACAATAAAATACCTAGGAAGCTCTAAAATGACATTATTAAAGAATGTGCACTTAATGAAAACAGATTTATAATGTATTTTTTTATTATTATTATTATTATACTTTAAGTTCTAGAGTACATGTGCATAAAGTGCACGTTTGTTACATATGTATACTTGTGCCATGTTGGTGTGCTGCACCCATCAACTCGTCAGCACCCATCAACTTGTCATTTACATCAGGTATAACTCCCAATGCCATCCCTCACCCCTGCCCCCTCCCCATGATAGGCTGTCTCTTATACACATCTAGATGTGTATAAGAGACAGGGACATAGGCATGGGCAAGGACTTCACGTCTAAAACACCAAAAGCAATGGCAACAAAAGCCAAAATTGACAAATGGGATCTAATTAAACTAAAGAACTTCTGCACAGCAAAAGAAACTACCATCAGAGTGAACAGGCAACCTACAGAATGGGAGAACATTTTTGCAATCTACTCATATGACAAAGGGCTAACATCCAGAACCTACAAAGAACTCAAACAAATTTACAAGAAATGATCTGTTTCTGCTTGAATCTGCCGCTAGGTGGGGACCACGGGACTGGCTGAACCATTAGTCATGGGTATGGATGAGGTCAGCCGGTTGCCAGAATTCAAAGAATGAGAAACATCTCAAAAGACCAATCTCAGGTTCTACAATAGTGATGTTATTTATAGGAGTAATTAGTTACAAATTTTGAAAACTCTGGCCAAATGACATTTGAGCAGTAAGGGATTATAAAAACTGTGCCTACATTTTAGCAGAATTCACTTCCCTCCTATAATCTTACTCTCATGGACTTTCACCAGTTTTACAAAGGCAATCCCTTGGCAAAATAAGGGTATTAGTGTTATGGAGGAACTATTATCATTATTGCTTCAAAGTTAAACCATAAACTAAATTCCTCCCATGGTTAACCTGGCCTATGTCCAGGAATGAGTGAGGACAGCCAGCCTGAGACTGGATGCCACATGTATTCAGCCATGCTAGTTTGCTGTCACTGTTGTAAACTTTGCACTGACTCACCAGGCTGTCAGTTGTTGGACAGGCCTGCGGTGCCCAAAGCCCATGGGCTCATTTCACCCATTTCACTCGTGACTCCATCCTCAACCTACTATGGAGTTCACATTCTCCAGTCATTTCCTAGAGATTTCTGGTTTCCTTTCAGGCATATAACATGCCTGAAATTTGTCACTCGGTTCTAATAGTAAGTAAAAAGCT